CGGACGGACGGACGGACGGACGGACGGACGGACGGACGGACGGACGGATGGATGGATGGATTGACGGATGGATGGATAAGAAGAACAGTCAAATACATACCTCTAAAGTTTTCTCTTGATAAAGTAGTTTCTGCATATCTGGGTCTATCCCAAATTTGGACTTAACAAACATCTTGAAATCTTTTACTTTCAAATATGAATTGAAAGGAATCGTATGACTCTCTCCACCAATCATAACAACCAGAACTGAACTTCTACTGCTAACAGGGATGCTCGCAGACTCCTCTTCATTATCTTCGAGTTCGGGAAAAAGCCAGTCTATCTTTGCAAGGCAGGCGAGATAATTCTTATTGTCATCGAGGATTTCGTCTTGGCATATTGGACAGCAGTTATTGTCCTCGATATATTTCGTAATACACTTTAAAAAAAGAAAAGAAATAACACATATTGAAAAATAATATAATAAAATTGGACACTCAGCTTACGACTGGATTCATGGTAAATTAGGGTCCTGAAGGGGAGCCCTACTCCAATATTTTCCAGCCCCTATTTTGAACAATTCCCAAAACATTATTGCAAATTATTCTTAGCGAAGTCTAGTAAATTAACCCACCCTTAGTCGGGTAATCCGATTGAATTACGACTAGCGTACGAGTGTTTTTCGGGATGATTCGGAGGACATTCCTTGCTGTCAGTTCTCTATCTACTACACGTGGATTCTCAGAAGGACATCAGAAAATACAAGGTATTTATTGCTCTTAATCCTTATAAACATAATGGTAGACTATTTATAGCTTGAGTACTATTTAAGGTTCAATTTAAGAATATTTTGATTGAGCTTTTATGTGAAAATTTACTAAAAGTTTTGAATCAAGCCTTGGACTATTCTGACTTCTCAATAACACAAATACAACCAAAAGTCGAGTTATATATGACATTTTTTCGGTGCTAAGATAAAGAATAGCTATAAAATAACGAAGAAAATATATCAAATGGTGTCTTGATGAATTGTAGTGTCTTTTTATCTCCTTCGCTTGAAGAATTGTTTGGCTTTGCTGACAACAGGAAGCGAAGACAGAAAACACTAGACTAGACAAGACGAGACAAGAGAAGCTTACTTACTTTCAAACAGTTTCGTTCAATGTGGTGATTACTGCAAAAATCCTGCGAAGGAAATTCTTTACGAAGCTTTTTGATATTACAGCTTGAACAGAGCATTTTCCACCGTTTGCATTGACCTAAAATTATAAGGAAAACATTGAAAATATATGTCCATAAATTTTCAGTCACGCAACACTGCAGTCTAAAAAAAACAACACATACTCAAAGCTGAAATTCAGATCCACTTTCGCTTTATATATCTAAAATTGATCAAAATATATAATTCTTTACCTTACATGTAAAATTCGATCAATACCCACTTCAAGAATCAAGTTTCTTTGACTATGTAATTTGGCCGAATTTCCTAGAAATTGGTTCATGAATATTCATATTACTTGGAAACTGAATTGGGGTATTTCCCCTCCTTATGAAGAAATTTTTTGGCGTTATTCGTTTATTCGCTATATTGCTCCGTATTGCCCAGAATACGACATAGAGATATATAAATTTAAGCGATCAAGGATTTTATAACCAGTGTTTTGGATTAGCTTTGAAGACTAGCTGCTATATATATGAGGTTAGTTCTATTTTTCAGGTTTATATATTTATCGTTCGCATGAAAGATTTAGGCTCCAAAAATATGGATTAAACCCCAATGAATTAAATTAATTCCCTTGACACCAAATACTTGGTCAATAGCGCAGCGCACTGATTCTAAAAATAGCTTAAAGATTCGGACAAACATTGCATTCTGTTTAACCGCTACGATGATTATACGAACCGATTTTATTATTTTTACTTAAAGTTACAATAATAACCCATGTAAACTAAGATCAACTGCGATCGGCTGTGAAAATTATCTGCTGAAAGTAAACTTGTAAGTTTGTTTGTCCGAATTTCGCCTTTGTCTTCGTTTTTATGACGTCACGGTTGCGCTGCGCTATTAAACATCAAATGCTTTGATATTTTTCTGATATTATTCTTACCTTAAATCTGTAAATTGGTCAGAGAAGTTATAAGCACAGTTCTAAAACTTTGCTACTAGATCTGAGCAGGATACAAAATATATAAAGCTTATCCTATGGCGAATTGAAGTTTTGAATCTAGTTTATGACTTTAAGTTTTGAACTCTTCAGATGTGTAAGCTTACTCTATATAAACTTCTTTCCCTAAACGGAGTACTAACTGCACTTAAATGTCCCAAAACGTTTAAAATTCAACTCCGACATAAAATGCAATGAAGCATATTTTAGTTTCACTTTCAATCGACCCCTATTGACCCCCCTCTCCCCTCTCCCCAACCACCATGATTTTTAGTGTGTTAAAACAAACTAGATTTTTTTATTTGTGTGTTGGTTTTCCATTAGTTTGTGTGACTATTTCTTCTTTATTTATTTTCTTTTCCTTGATTTTATAATTGAAACTAGTAAAGTTCAGCATTTTAGAGTTATCTTAACTCCATTCTCCAGAATGGAAAAAAAATGTTAATAAGGTTAATGCCAGTAAATGAGTGGAAATTTACATAAGAATGTGTCAAATGAGCATAACAATAAGCAATTATTGGATGAGGTTGAGCATGGTATCGTAAATTATCAAGTCCGAGGCTGTGTTATCACACAGCCGAGGTCTTGATAATTCACAATATCATGCGATAACTGAATTCAATAATTGCTTTATTATACATTTTGTATACTGGAAAAACATTAACATGAACATTAAATTATAGAGACATCTCGATGGATCGCAATGCCCTTGGCAAAGCTACCACAGTGTGACTTTGAATGAACTTGACATGATAAATGTATTATCTTTAGGAAAACCTACAGATAATACATTTATCATGTCGAGTTCACATGATATCAGGGATTGGCTGAGGGTTCTCGACCAATCAGAATTGAGATACTTAGTAAAATGTATAATAATAATTAATAGTATAAGATCATACCTTCAGGGAATGATCAATTTTAGCATGTACCAACATGTGTACTTCCTAAGAACGCGCACGCTCATTGGTTAATTGGAGGTGATTATTGTACGATATTCACCTCAATCTCGGAATATTGAGTCGACAACAAAATGACATCAGCCGGCAATCGTTTTGCTACAATTTCCGATGAGGACATTGAAAAGATGAAAGTAAATGCCATTCCCATCAATACTAAAAAGGCAACAAAGTATGGCCTAAAAGTTTTGCTAAACATTTTGTGTGAATTTGTCACTCAAACTAAAAGTTTCTGTTTGTTTGTTTTTATTGAATTATTGTATATAAAAATA